CCCAAGAGAACTTTCTTGGAGGCCGCTAGGGACTGCGGGAGATTGAATTTGAATGTGGAGGGCGGGCAGTGGGAGAAAGAGGACATGCCCTCCCCACGTGTCATGGGGGACATGCTCCTACTGCCCAATGGAGATGTGCTCATGATCAACGGGGCAAAGGCCGGGACTTCGGCTTGGAATGCCGCCAAAGATCCCAACCTCACTCCCGTGCTCTATAGTCCCAACAAAAGGGTAGGTAAGAGGTTCAAGGAGCTGGCGCCCACTGTTATTCCAAGGATGTACCATTCGGTCTCCGCTGTCCTACCGAGCGGCGAAATCCTCGTGGCCGGAAGTAACACGAATCCCTTCTACATGCTAGAGAAATATGAGGACGATTACACGTTCCCGAGTGAACTCCGTGTCGAGAAGTTTTACCCGCCCTACATGGCGCCTGACCAGATTAAGTATCGGCTTGAGATATTGAGGGGCCGGTCGGAGAATTTGTTGAAATATGGTGTTGAGTTTGGTGTGGCCATCAATGCCAAAGGGAATGAGAATATTGGGAAAGACGGTTACATAAAGGTTACAATGTACTCTCCGCCTTTCACCACGCACGGCTACTCTCAGAACCAGAGATTGCTCATTCTGAAGCTCAAAGAAGTGACCGATGGAAAGATCACAGCAGTTGCACCGCCGTCACCCACTCTTGCACCACCGGGCTACTATCTTCTGTTTGTTGTTTATCGTGACGTTCCCAGCCGTGGAATCTGGGTGCACATTCAGTAGACATCAATCTATCAAGATGAATGTGCCTTATTGTGCATGACATTGACTTATTTTATTTTCTTGTCTTTTATTCTTGGTGTACTAGTTCAATACTAATGATCGATCAAGTAATAAAGCGAGACCAAAGGTGGACTTTTGAAATTGGGAATACATCATTTTTCGACTAGTTCAAGAATTTTTTTACACCACTAAACTACAAAACTAAGGAGAGTGTGTTCAATTGCAACTTGAAAAGGCTTTTCAAAACTTTCAAAATTCACATGTATTCAATTGAAATTTTTTCTAACTTTTTAAAAGTTTTAAAAACTTTTTATAAATCTCTAAGTCTCAGACTTCTTAAAAATCTCTGTAAGTCATTTTGTAATAAAGTAGAAAGACTTTTTTAGACTTTTTAAATTGAAATACTTCTGTAGACTCTCTTGACAAAATTACAAAGACAAAGTCTTGAATTGCTAGACTTATGTGACTCTTTATTTTTTTTTCTTCCGATAAGGTTTAATGCATACAACTATATATATCATAGTACTTTCTCACTCAATTACTTTGCGCATTTAACTTGATTGCTTGTATAACATGGTTTTTCAACATAAATGTTTAACGTGATTTTTTTTATTTAATTATTTTTACTATGGTTATTTTATCGTATGTTTTTTTATCCTCTCATAACTGCTTCTGATTATATCTTTTTCAAAGTCAAATGTTTGAATAGTTTGCACCTACTAAGAATGTTTACTTTCACCACTGTAATGTGACAATGTTTGTGTCTTGTAAAAGTAATATTTTTTTAATTCTGCAGCATGATGCAAAAAATAAATAAATAAATAAATAAATAAAGTTCAACAATAATCACATAAATATGTCATGATCGGGTGGTTATGATTGTCATTCCATCCGAGAAGAGTAACACTTTTTTGAGATTATGCTCCAATAATAAAGAATATTATGCTTATCTCGCGTTCGACTCGTTGAAGCTCGCGAAAGCTAGAACAACTTGAATTGTTTAATAAGCCTAAAAAACTAAACGAGTTGTTTGTGAACACAAAATGTTTTTACAAACAAGTTCGACAAGATTGTGTATTTTATAAAAAAAAAATGCATAATTAAAAAATGAGTAGTGCATGAACAAACCCACTTTGGTTCATTTAATAAACAAACTTAATTAATTGTTCAAGATCGATTCATTTAAGAAAATAAATGAGTCGAGCTCCAGCTTACATGAGCAAAACTGAGTTGTGTTTGCGAATAACTCATTTCAAACAAAAAAATTGTACTTGATTCACAATTTTTTAGAGGATTATTTATTAACATTTAGTTACACAAATGTAATGTTGCAAAACTTTATTTTTCTTTCTTGTTGTTGAATATAACTGGTGGTTACGATCATAACTGATTCTTTTATAGTATTAAAAAAAAAAACTAGTTTGATTTTCATTGATATTGGTTACGATGCAAGGTTCATGAATATTTTAATGCAAAAGTAATAGTTACAGTATAAGTATATAAAAGTTTCAATAAGTTTCAAAAGTTCCATGACAAAAGTTTTAAAAAACTGTTATAAGAATTCTATGAAAATCTCAAAAAGTCCACCAACGTCATTGAAGTTTCACCAAGTCCACCTAAGTCACTCACCTTAAAATGTGTTGAAAAGTTTTTAAAAGTTTCAGTTGAATACTGTAACACCCCGCTTTTTCATAAATATCAGAGTGCGTTTTTCGCAAAACTTTTATTTATAAAACATATTTATTTGCGAAATCCTTTTCGGGATGCTACTAAAAACCATTCGTTACTTTGAAAACCCGTTATCAATTTAAATTTAGCTTGTAAAGACAACCGAATTATTTTTAAATCAACTAGCATATGATACTTTATAAAAGTCTGACCGATAATCGGATCAACATGTGAAAACTGACATGCCAATTAAAAAGTCGTAAAATGACAGCGGAAGCTAAAACGTGGCAGAACATAAATGTATAATGGCTGGTAGCCATATTCGTGACCACGATCCACCAACCAGCTCACTCATCCAGTCCGACCCTGTTATCTGAAAAACATAGAAATCGTGGGGCGTGAGCACTAAAAGCCACTGTGCTCCGCAGGAACTCATACTAAAGTAAACAGTGAAAATAATAACAAAATCATGATCAAGATCATGTAGAAACGTGGTACCGGTACAATATAAAAACATGGCATGGCATGGCATAGCATAGCTGTAGCATAGCTACAATATCTGCCAACACAAACGTGCTGGACACCATGTGCACACTCTAGTGGGAAGATAAGGCCACTAGAACCTAGAATGGGTTTACGCACCTGGACCGGCTACCATTCCAAGCGGATACATAGCATGATACATACCTCAAATATGGTAGAGTAATTATAATCAATGTAATACCCAGTCTGAGTCCCCACCTGAACTGCTGATATGAATCGTAAGTGCTGATAGCCTTGAACTGTTCAAATTGTAACATATATATATATAAACAAATACTAAGTATTATCCACAGACTCATTAAAAATAGCTGTTAAGATGCTCGATTGGAACTGATGACTTAACTAGATTCATTGACATGAACTAGGGCTCAACATAAACTGACTTGAACATAACTGGAATTATTGAACTGGACTGACTGAACTGATAACTAAATTGATTTCATTGAACTAACCAACCAGACTTGGAAAATAACTGAAATATCTGACATAACATGGACCAGATCAAAATAATATTGAAATTTAGAATTAACCGGTCTGAACCTGTCGGTTCCCTAGATGGCCGGACCGCCGGCTTGCTGTGGCTGGGCGGTCGGCCGCTGGCTTGGGCCAACCGAATTGGTCCCGCGCTGGGCACGCTGATG